GGTCTTTCGGTCTTACTGCCTTCTTAGACTTGTGCGTGGATTTGTTTATTCAAGCGTGTTTTGTTTCTATATTTGTTTACAGCGCGTTTTGTGGCGCTTCTGCCTCTGCGCCTTTGCTATCTCAATGTCGTTTTTGCTATTTCCATAGCTACATATTTGCCTTTGAGGGGATTTCCTCAAATAGTCGGATGTACGTATGTATTTGAATGTCTCTGCTGTATATTTGCGAATTTGTATGTTGCGTGTTCCTTAAGCATAGGTGTGGACGTATGTGTGTGTGTGTGTATGTGAGCAGGTGTATTGGGAACGTATGTCAAGGCATAGGGCAAGCTCAATCAAATTGTCCTTCGGCGTTGCTTTGGGTAACAAGAAACCTGTACGTATGCCAATCAACACGCATACATACGAGTATAATATATGTATATATACGAGTGGTTTCATATTTGTTGTTATTTTTTTTTGCACCAACCCATCAGGACTTAAATATTTATGCCCTTTGCGTGTGTGCCCAAGCATATGAAAATATGAGCTCGTAAAGCTTTCGCACGCGAAACGATTTAACGCCATTTAACCTAATAAGAAAAGAGCTGCTTTGGAAATAACAACAAAAATAAAAGCATAAACAGGAACAACAAGCTAAACCACTGACCGCTGATTATATTACTTGCCCTTTTTGTTTGCTTCAAGCTCCACAATTTATTAGCACTGATAAATTCCAGGAGTAAACACTAAGTGTTACTTAATGCTTTGCATAAATATGAATTTTGTGCGAATTTTGCTAAAACTCGCCTACGGAATGTGATAAGGCGTTGGTTTCTCTAAGAACGCTATACATTTCCTAATTTAAGACAATTTATTTGCCATCAATTCATATAACAGGGCCTTTTTTTTGTCTATTGCATAAGACAAGAATGTTGCAAAATTAAGATAAAATTGTATATTTTTTTCATGTAAATTCAGTAAAATTACCTTATTTACCCAAACTTTCCTACAAGTTTTTTAAAACAACATGAAATAAATTACAGTTAACGTTTTGCATTAATTTGTTTTAAATTGAAACATAATATGTACCAGTATATTTTATACAACTTCACAACTTCGCATGGTCAGCGAAAATATAAATAAATATATTCGTGATCTAAAGGCTTTTTTTATGTATAAAAAACATGTTTTATTGTGTTGTTATTTAATAATTATAAATTAAAAATCTATTTTTTCAGCAGTTAATATATCTCCCAAAAATTAAATTTTAAAAATTTCAACAGCTGACGCATCGTTTATTCTTCTTGATTTCCACTACGATAACGATTAAAATATCAAATTCAGTGAAAAGATAGTATAAGCCATATATTGTTGCTGAAAGAAACAATTTTTTAGCCATCAAGTCTTTCGGAAATTTCCACCAATCTTGTTTTTGTTTCTTTGAAATCTTCGTGTAGTCGAACGCATCTAATTGGGCGAATTGGTATCCAGATACCCGTATAGGCAGTTTCTGGAACCTTTCAAGACATAGATTGCGTATCCAGTGCTGGACTATGAATTTCAAACTCTATATGGGTCTTTAAGATAATCTTCGATTGCCGAAGGACGTAAGAGGAGTAAGCTTGCAGAAGTTGTTGAAATATATGCAAGTGATTCAGCCCTATCCCAAAAGACACCTGCATGAAATGTGCTGGAAAATAGCCATTTTTTCCGAAGGACAATATAAGTATTTCCTGTTATTGCTGGCAGGGGCTATGAGCATAGTTAGATAACTAACTAACTAACTAAAACTATAATCCAGTTATCCTATTTTGTTGTTTTCCAGATGTTGGAAGTTGAACAATATAAGTTCCAAAATATTATCTGATTGACTTAAATTGCTAAATAGTGATAGTAGTAGGTAGTAGTTTATAGGCAATGAAAAAACTGTTGCCTATCTACTAGGCGCTAATTATAAACTTCACTGTTTGACGAAATACTCCAGCGGGCATGGATATCTCTGGCTCTGACGTAAATAGAGATAATTGAAAATGGATATAATCATGTTATTAGGCTGTAGCAAATCGATGGATCAGCGTTGTGGGGACAGACAATGGCACAACGCCACGGGACGTATACGCAATTTGTGGGCGGGCTTTTAACAGTCTTTTGGCCAAAACTATCACATGAAGTGCAACGTGAACAGAGTTATGGAAATGCTGAACGCATCGAAATGAAAATGAATTGCCAATTATGCTTGGACAGGCAATCAACCGTATAGAAGCATGTCAGTCAAAATGCCAGCAACATCAAATTCGTCGATGGGCCTCTCCATTATTTAGCACATCTATTTGTGTTCATGTTTGTCTTGGCTTGTTGGTTTTTGGCGTTTTAGAATATCTAAATTATGAAAATGTAAATTGTGTTTATCTAAAATTTCATTTCCAAATTGATTTCAACAGCGGTTCGAACCAAAGCAAAGTTCCCTTTTTGGCCGACCCAATTAGTTTTCAATTAACGCTTGAAACTTTTGTGTGTTTGTTTGCCTGTTTTGGGCCTAGCTATCTTTGATTTTCAATTAATATTTCCAGTTCGGTTTTATGCATTCATTGTTCCTAATGGCTAGACATGCGTCGGCGTTAATTAACTGTCTCGTTTTCTTTGGGGCTTCCATGTTGAATTTCAGCAGTTTATTTTAAGTGCACATTATTATAAAGAATATTCATGCATTAATGGTAGCTGGGAGTTCATTAGTGGTATTTTCTTTTACGGTATATAGTGCATCATTAATTGGGCTAATTGATTTTTGGGGTTCCTCACAAACATAAATTAAAAAACAATTAAAACATACATTGAAATGAAATCTATAAGGATAGTGTGGCGCGAGTCGTGCTTTTGTATGCACGAAATAATTTCATTAATGCAATTAATGCATTACACTCTTCAAATTGCATATTTGTTTATTTATCAATAATGTTGTTCCTATTGTAAAATTTATTTAGACTATCCTATGATTTATTTTATTTGAATTAGGCATCGTGCGAACATAATATGAGCAGCTTAATAAGCTTTTTAATGCCTCAAATGTAAGACGTTTGTTTAAATGATTTGTACTAAGGCAGGGCTTAGATTAAATTTTAATTGATAGGTTTTGATTGCAGTGCAGGCTTGTGCTGGTCCCATAAGCTTTAAAGAGTAACCCTAAATTTGTATTTGAAACTTAACTTGGTATGATTTTATTCCTGTTTATTATTTTTCAAAACTTCAATTATATATTTGCTCAATATTTCTTTTCGCAATGTAGGTCTGATTTGTTACTGAATTAAATTATGCATAAATTGAAAAATGTCTAAAAGTTTTACATTTTTATAAAATAGCCTACTTTTAACCAACCTTTAATTTTTAAGAATTTACTTTTTTTGCAGAGCCTGTTTAGCATTAGTGTGTGATTTCTATTTTTTTTCTATACAGATATTATCTACTGCTAGACTGTGTTGTTAACTTCTGTCTGGCCTGAAGCGTATCTCAACAGCTACTTGCAACTGTTGGCCCTTAATGAGCACTTCGACTAACTAGCTGGTAGCAGCAAGTAGGCAGCAAAAGAGCACACTTTTTTATTTCTTTTGTACCCACTTATTAGAGCTAACAAGTTTTGTGCTTTGCGCTCATAAAGCATGTCTATAATTTCAAATTAAAAAGCATGTACTCACAGAAAAAATGAGGATATATTGTACCTACAAGATAAATCAAAGAAGAAGAAGTGGAGTTCAAGCTAAAATTGCGTATACGCCATGTAGCAAGCGGCTCGTATATGGTTCAACGTTGATTAGCTGTGCTTTGTGTTGTTAACACAAATAATAAAAAAAAGGCGGCAGCAAATTGTGTAAAAAATGGTTGTACTTGTATGTGGGTTGGCAGCTGCTGCGGAACCAGCGGTATAAAGATCCCGACATAATGAAGCCACAAATAATAAATAACCGAGACGCAAAGAAGCACGAAACAGAAACAAATCGTGCTTGCTGACTGAATGCTCGCTCAGTTGTTTTTATTTCTTGCAGTCTGAAATTTCAATTTAAAAATCTACACATTTTTCAAGGCACACACACATACTATATACTATGTATGTGCCTGTGTATACAGTTGCCATTTCGTGTCAGTGTCGTTTGTAAGCTGTGTATAAAAGTCGCCGGGCTCGCTTTCCTATTGTGTATGTGTGTGTGTGTGTGCGTATTTAGTCGCACATTTGTTGGTCTGTATTGTCCTTTATGTTTAGCTGGCTGTATTGTGCATATGTGTGGGTCTCTGAGTGTGTATATGTTTCGAGCCTGTTCCGAGCCTGCATGCACTGAGGCATAAAATCTCTGTAACCTTTTTTCTCGTGACTGGTTCGTCATGGCTGCTGCTGTTAACTGAATGGTTGTCCCTCACTCATGTTTTTTTTTTTTGTTACTATTGTTTGTTGTTTTTGTCGCTATTGGTGTAGCTGGCTGCTCTTGTTTTTATGCTTGATGCCAGTGTCTGCTCATAAGTGTGAGTGTCTAAATTGTCTTATGCCCAAAAGCTATCCGACGCTCGCCAAACGGCCAAGACAGTCAACCGGGCCAGAAAATAAATGTAGGCTGAGCTGAGTGGGCAACAAATAAACACACACATATCCGAAGCTGGCTACAGCATATTACAAATAAAAAGAACTTTCACTTTTATTAAGAATTCGACATAGCATTGAATCGCGGAATTTAATATTTCTTGTTCTAGGAATCTGGAATTCGATTGGAATTGTCGGCATTCCCTTTTTGCTTGGAAAATCGAAAGCGCGGAATTTAATAATCCTTCTTCTACGAAACTCTAATTGATATTTATTCACGTTGCTTCACTCGTGGAATTTGATATTTCTTCTTCTAGGAATTGGCAAGCGCAATTACAAAGTAATCCATTTCCATATGTCAGCAGTGGTTGAGCACAAAAAATGTTTTAAAGTAGAAAAGTCAGAAGACTTAGCCCGTTGGCGAAATTTATTGAACTAAAAACATAAAAACGTATTAAATGATTCACAAATAATAAACAACCAATTTATGCTCAACTAGAATACAAAAAAAAAAAATTGAAGCAATTGCAGTTGATTGAGTTAATCGCTATCGATTTCCTCGATCACAAGTTTTTCAAAATATTCCACTAGCGGCTCGCCCTTTTCATGCTCGATTGGTTCGGCTCCATTGCTTTCATCTGCAACATGCTCCTCTAGAGCCGATGCAGTTGGAAACTTCAAGTGTGGACACGCGCTACAAATATAACCTGCGTTGGCCTTTGGCGAATGCATTTCGGATGCCATTGACTTGAATGATGGCTCATAGTGTTCGGACCACTGCATGCGTTCGAATTTTGGCCACGACTTTGATTTGGAAAGAGTGGGCTGCGTGGATTTGCTTATCAGCTGCTTGCATTCGAATTTCGGCAATGACGTTGATCTAGACGTTGGTGGCGGTGAGGGGGGCAGTGATGATTCAATTGAAATCGAATCTGCCGACCAATCTTCCCCGGCTGATATATCTGCATTCAACACTATGGCATAGAAACTGACCCTCGCATCCAACTCATCATCCTCCGCAGTTTTAAAGAGATCCATATTCAGTTCATCCCCGTGCAGCTCGCACGGCTCAGAGCAAATAAATTGCTGATTAGAAGTATTCAAGTTATTGAAATACATTCTCCAGTTGGGATTAAAGCATTTGCATGTACATACCTCTGCTGAATTGCGAAGCATGTGCACTCCATCCATCAGCAGCTTTCGATGCGACTCATCTGTGATGTTCATTTGGAGCAGATCAAAAGGCGTCAGTAGCTTGCACATGGCTATGGTGTCGTAGCCCCGATCCGCCATACGCAGCATATATTTCTCCATTGTTAGTTGGACGAGCCAATCTCGCACCGCATGGCGACACATGTTCTCGTTTCTCGTTTTATTTTAATGTTTCTTTTCTAAATACAAAGTAGATTTTGACAAGGTTTTGCCGGTAATACGTATGTATGTATATATGTACGAGTACATTGATTTTTTTTAGAATAAAATGTGCGATGTACAAGGTTTTATTCTAAAAATAATAATAGATTTATTAAATATACAGGTTTTATTACTGATAACAACTTTTAACAATTCTAGAATCAGAATAGAGAACATTATGAAACCAGAATATCAGTTTATACTCCAAATTAGCCGATGTTAATTAACCTTGGCTGTATTTTCATATTCACTCCAACTAACTGATATGTATCTCTAAAGCTAGCTATATAGAATAGAATCAACAATAAACCTTTCATTATGCAACCAATATTATGTTCTTAGATAACAAAATATAAAGACGCTTTTTTAAGCATATGTTTTTATGTAAAATGTATTATATACGTATTTATAGTGGATCAATCTAACTAGTTGGGACAGAAAAATGTTGTCCATATTTAAAATTGTTGTTGATTTAATTATTAGTTAAATACTTTTCCTAAAACAGTATTTCATTGTTTTTGTGTTATTTTTATTTTTGTATTCATCTCTTAAAAAATAACAAATTAAGAAGATAATTCAATTTTGGTCATCAAATTACCACTTCCCACTTTTTTAAAAGCCATTTTACGTAATGAATTTTATTTTACATTTACTTCTATATATACTTATAATATTGTGTCAAACCTCACTTCTTGAGAATGTACATAGTTTCTTCATAATCTTTGGAAATTCCTCTTGATGCCTTCAGTCAGTTCTGCTCCGCTGGAATGTTTGGAATTTTGGACGTATCAGTCAAAAACTATAGCTCGCAAACGTAAGATAATTAATATACTTATAATAATAATTATATACATCAGATTATTAATGTTGAATACTAATAAGTTGTTGACTCAAACAAATGTGTGGAAATTATGATATATGTATAATATTGAAGAACAAATTAATCAAGAACTCACGACATTTCAAGAACAACAAAAGCAATTAATTGAAGCTGATGACGCTGGATAACAATTTTATATATATTTTTTTAAAGATATATACGTACTATATTTCTATATTTTTATTAAATAAAATAAAAAATAATATAAATAATAATGTGGCGGCTTATGCTAGTTGTATATTAAAATACAATAACTTTCCATATGATAAAACTATAGGATACATTATTTTCTTAAATATATAGTACTTTTGTCTAACTGCCTTTCTCTTCTTGTTACCTCAAGTAAATATTGTAGCCTGCTTTAGTGGAGAAGTTCGATTCTCTGGGCTAGATTTTTAATGTTACTTATTAAAAGGTAGTTCTGTCGCGTTTGAAGAACAATAATTGTAATTTTCTTCTAGAAATGTCTTGCATTCTGTACCAAGTAGAAGTGACTTATTGTTTAATTCAATAGACTCACTATACGGTGTGCGTACTGTACTGTAAGCTCATATAGTTTCTAGTTTTGTGTGCATGTATGTGTGTGTTACACAGACAGTCATCGTGTCAATGGCGGCATAGAATTTCCAACTAGCGAAAAAACTTAAAGAAGAACAAAAGTTTGCAACTTAAACCATAAATGTGCAGACGGAAAAAACAAGCAACACACACACACACACACACACATTCACGGTAGGCTTCCATGGCGATTTTATGGACGACTGTGTGCCACCCCCGCTCCTTAAAATCCATTCACAAGCCAGCCTATCTGAAAGTTGGCAGCAAGCGTCTCTTTGTTTTTCTGCTTTCTTGCCATTTCCTTTCTCACTTCTCTCTTCTCGCTGCCACCTTTTTAGTTATTGTGCGACTGTTGTTCAACGCTTCGCTGTAGTTAAGTTTATAAATACACAAAACACGTAGCCTGTCTGCGATTAGCCTGAAACATTTAAGCCCCATAGCTGCGGCTGAAAAGTTATGGCCATAGCGGCAGCCGCAGGCTCGTGCTTTGGTTGATGCCTCGTTGAGGTGTCGGCTGTCAGTTGGTGGCTCCTCCCTTCCTTCCTAACCCTCTCTCCACTCAGTTTGTGACTCTCCAGGCATTGTTAACACGTCGCATATTTAGCATTATTTATGCCTGGTCTGGCTTGCCGAAGCTCCCCAGCCGGTTTATAGTTGCACTTTGTTTTTATTTTTGTTGCGGCTATTTACACTTGAAAATGTTTTGCCATTGTTCGTTGCGGCAATGGCCACTTGGAATTATAGTCAAGTGTGTGTCTATAGACATGCGTTACAGCCTCAGCTACACGCCGATTTAAGGGCCCAAGATAAGGCATACATTTTACTTAGCACAAAATGGCCGCAATGTGGCGAGCCGAAGAAAAAGGCAGCAACAACAAAAAGTCAAGTTAATTGTGAGGTGGTGGGGAAATGTAACAATAAGGTCGCCTCTTGGCTACTCAATTGTTGACAGCGGCTGCCCAAAGTTGTTAGAGAATGGGCTGGAAGTCAAGGATTTCTGTGGCCAATGAATGTGTTAATTGTGCGTAGTGCACAGATACGGATAGTTGGGGCTGCTGAACGGATAAGGGTCAAAAGGTTGACAATTAACGGCAGACAAGTTGAAAATATTGCGCAGCTTAATATTGTGCAAGCCCAATTGATATGAGGGACAGCCAAATAGTTTAACTAGAACCATGCCATATAAGTTAATTCATGACATTTTTTTAATAATGTAGAAGCTCTTATTCGAATGCTATGGATTTTTATATCCAAAGAATCGGAAAATATCGGAAAATTAAGCTAAACTGTTTTCTACTGAAATTTAACCCGGCTTTTGTGTAGTTAATATTAAGAGAATAATATCATTTCGTCTTTTTCTTAACATTTTCCCTTTTTGCTTTCACTTTATAAAGTTAAATACTTTTTAGATTGATTTAACTTTTCAATTATTTAAATTTTGTCTAATATTTACAACTAAATTAATATTACAATATATTGCACTATAATTTGGAGAGTTGATATTCGTAAATATTATAATTGATCGAAATGTAAATAACAATTTACCTGAATAAATTAATTTAGTAATTGACATATGTTAGCCAATAGGTAAACTTTAAAATATGTTAATGTACGCTTCTCTTCACTTATGTGTGTGGTTTCGCTTATGCATTTATGTTTTATTTTGATGTCAGTTCTAATAACAATAAATATGAAGTCAATTAAATATAAATTGTGGCACATAAGCTTAACGCTCTGACCTATCAAATAATTAATCCAGTTGCCTGATAAGCTGTTCGTACATCCAACCGCAACAATAATTTTAAACAAATTTAGTTAAAATTTCTGCAGACAAATTGCGGACAAAGCTCGACGCCATTAGCCAACAACACACCGAGAATCCGCCCAAGCTGGTTAACGAGCTGAAAAGGCGGAATGCAAGTGCCGTGGCGTGCCATACCGTGCCGTGCTCTGTGTCTTTACCGCATGCTGACAATTAGTCTTAAAAATGAAGTGGGTGGCAACACTGCCACGAACGAGTTGTTTTTGTATTTATATAGTATTTATTTTAATGCTGTTCGCTTGTGTTGGTAGCCGGAGCCGAAGGCGTGTTTATGTTCCCGGTCCAATAAAATTGATTGTGCTTTTGTGTGAAGTCTGTTAGGGAATAAGTCAGACAAATGGCTCGTTTGCTTAAGGTGCTTGGCTTTGTAACCAACCCTGGCAATGACCGTGAAATTACAGTTACTGCACAGCACTGAATAAAGGCGAGAGCCAACACTTAGCATTAAGCACTTTGGTGCAGGAAACTTTTGGATGGGAGGGCCTGTTGAGTCTGTATTTATGCATTTTTTATGCTGCAACTTCATTAAATTTACTTTTTACGACGGTGGAAACCGTAAAATCTGCTAAAAGCGCACCCCCTTCTCACTCTCATAGCTTATATGACTCCCAAAGCCCCAGAAGTCCTTATTCGGCCTCTAAGCGCTGGCTTTTCTCAACAAAGGATAAGCAACAAAACGCAAACAGAAACGGAAGTGGCTGCCCGCTGTAGCAGGAAATAACAGGACAGCGGTACTTTTAATTACTTTCTGCATAAATTTGCACTCATTTTCCCATGGAAACAAGCCAACAAACCAGCTGACCAGTCAACCAGCCGTCTGGCCAACATTTCAGCATCAGCTTTTGATGCCATTTTTGGCACTCAAAAAATGAAAACAAAACTACAACAAAAAATATATATACATTTATATGTAAAAGTGTAATCTAACATTTTTTTCTCCACTTTCTTTGGTTAATTTTGTAGCCAGGTGTGGGGCATATTTTGCATAAGAGGTTTGGCAATTTTCTCTCTTCCAATTCACTTGGCTGTCTGCCAACATAGCGACGTGATGTTGTTAAGGGACCTCCACTCCCAGTGAACTCACTTTATGGTGCCTGACTTTTGATTGCAGCGCACAATTTGGCAGGCATTTAAATCCAAATTCGAGTGTAGGAAAATTTTTCACAGAATTATCTCGTGTTGCAAACAAAAAATGTGTTAAGTCGCCTGGATTTGATTATCATTTCAACGCATTTTTCCGAATCTTCCAATGTTTTATTTAACTACATATTTGCAATATTTTTAATATTTAAAAGCATTTTTAGCATTTTGAAATGCATTGTATTTTATATTTATTGTAACTCTACGCTCTGATATAATTTATTTTATTCACCAATGTTGCTTCCATTAAGGTGACTATTTGGTTTGCTTGAGTTATTTTTGGGAACTGGTTACCCGATTGTTAACCTCAGATATTTGACAAGTTTTAGATTACGAAGACGTTTCAGCAGTCTTCGGTGTTCTGTCGTTCGAATAGTTTTTTGGAAAAAAAACATTTAATACCTTTATTTTGGCTGTACAGATAAAAATAAGCAGATCGTTCAACGAACTGCGATTACTCGCACATGAATACTTTTGTGTAATACTCCGAGAAGAAGAAAAGGTATTAGTATTATTGGCCTTAGCTCCTTAAAATTCGGAACTTGCATTCAAGTTTTTTTTACAGTCATTTGCTTACTAGCTCCCCAATAATTTTCTCCATTGGCATTGATATTATATCTAAAACACTCTCGGCACAGTTTCTCTTGTATGAATCGCAGCTATTGTGTTGACCACTTTCTTCCGCTTCGTAATACTCATCTGGTAGCTGGTCGTCCTGCGAGGTACTTGGACTGTAAAAAAAGAAATGTTACGACGCCATAATGAAATGAGTATCTTGTTCACACTTGCGTTAATATGATGTGCAGTAAGCTGCCTAAGAAACCATTGCTGTCTCCCAGCGTGGCGGCGTTCGTTTCACAAATTAGACGCAACAGGCACGCTTCAGAGGGATAGCCGATTCTAAAATATAGAATTTAGCTATGAATTTGATGGAGTTTAATGTTGAAATGCTCACACCTATCCAGGGTATCCCGCAGTACTGAGTACAGGGAGGAGCGAGTGAAAAGAGATGGCGCTGGCTCTGGCTCTGGCTCTATAGAATTATCAGTATAGTTGTTCGCCTGTCGTGCAGACGATCTGCAATTATAGCAATCGTTTTCTGGCGATGTGGTATTATAAGTCAGATAGCTACCAATGCCCATTGGGTCATCCGCCTTTAAGAGTGCGAAGCATAAGTATATCAAAAGACAACCAAAACTAATTGATAACTTACCAGATAAGGTGGGTATTTGTAGACATGTTCGGGCAAATAGTAATTAAATTCAAAATTGTATGATACGAACACATTGCGATTGGGCAAGTAGGCGGGCACAGAAATGGCCATAAAAAGCTGTCAAACACAATTTTTAAACCATTATGTAATCAGTCTATATAATGATGGCTTACACCGAAACATGTGTTGGTTGGAAAAAGCAATGCGCTCTCACCCAAATGCCAAACCACTGAGACAATGAATAGCCATGAGTACAGGCATCCCATATCCTTGGCTTAGGTGTGAAATGTAATATTCAGGATCATCCACAGCCGTTAGGTAGTAGCACTCAAAAGTGTATTTCTTACGTAATTTCCTAAAAAGCTTCACATTAAACAAAACCTATGTAGATTTGTTGTTCTAGGACATAGACCTCTCGAGCTTAACTGGGCTGTGTAATCTAACGCGCGTTTGTAAACCGACTAATACCGGTTCAGTCGACAAACCCGATTTGGAACCACATCGTAGACGTCGTTAGGTGCATAAAAATAGACATAATATTAAAAGCCCGTAACCATTCGAAAGGTGTTAACTGACAATGCACTAATAAGAACGAATAAATATACGAGTATATTCCGAAATGTTTCCATGCACGTTATTTTGTATGTTTGTTAGCATTCTAAAAGAAAGCTTAAAAAGGTGTAAGCGAGAAATTTGTTATCAATTATTTGTGAACATAAGACGTTGTTTTTATTTGTTTTTTTTTAAACATTTCTTGACGACAGCCCAAGTCACCCTAACTTTAAACTGATCTCGAAACCGTGCGAGAACGCACGAAAGACAACATATTTTTTACTCTGTACATGAAATGTACAAGAGTATATTAGGTTTTCGGGAGTTAAAAAATGTAACAGGCAGAAGGAGGCGTGGCGGACCCCACAAAGTATATATATTCTTGATCAGCATGACAAGACGAGTCGATTTAGCCCTGTCTGTCTGTCCGTCTGTCCGTCCGTATGATCACCTAGATCTCAGAGACTATAAGAGCTAGAGACACCAAATTTTGCACAAAGATGCCTTATGTGTGCATTCTATACGAGTTTGTTTTATTTTTTTGATTTTCCTCCCCACTTCCCCCCTATGGGGGTTTTCCCGATTTTACTTTCGTATAATCGCCTATATCTCGGAGACTATAAGACCTAGGAACACCAAATTTTTGTCCCAGATGCCTTATGTGAATACGCAGAAAATGTATATTTTGGAATTTCCCTCCCCCCTCTACCCCGCAAATCGTAACTCCCGTAATTCTTGGAATTTCGCACTAAATAATAATAAATACCCCCAGTTGATTATTATGTGTCCGTGTGCCAAGTTTCATTATGATAGACCGATTTAACAAGAAGTTATAGCCATAAATATATTTGCTGCTGCAGCTCTGCTCAAGCGCTGCTCAAGCGCTGCCCGCGGCTGTTGTTGATGTTGCTGTTTGGTTGACTGCGAAAATGCTTACACAGACACGAATAGATGCGCATAGGCATACATACACTCACACAGACGCAATTGCTATGTAAATGTGCAATTATAAACCCTTTACCTGAGTTCGAATACCGAGAGACGTAAAATCGATCAAATTTTTTTTTTATTTTCTTAATTCTTTTTATTTTCTATGATTATTGTAAACATACAGAGTATTTCAAAGTCGGGACACCCGACTTTAGCTTTTTTACTTGTTAGAATTGTTTGTTTTACAAGCTTAGCATTTGTTGTATTGCTATACGTTGTTAATTAATTGCCATTGTTTTAATGTACCCGGTTATTCTGGGTAGAAATACACGCATACACTTTGTATATATTAATTTATATATTATAATTGTCTCCTTAATGCCAAACCAACTGTAAGCTTTTTAGAAGCCGTAAGATTAATATGCATTTATCCGAAAGGGTTAGAGAATTCACATTTTTAATTTAGGACGACTTAGGCGGTCCTAAAAAATGTGCAATCTTTAAATGTCTAACAGTCATTAAATTTGTAATATAAGTTGTAAGTATTAAGGCTTACTAGGACTGAGTCTAATGATATGTTAGATTGAAAGGGCTGGGGTGATTGCACCTGTCCATCCACTTAGGCCTAAGGAGTTCCATTGTGAAGCCATAAAATTCGCTTAGTACTTATAGGTTCATTTTCAACCCCCCGGTTTTGCTAATGAGCTGTATAGGCTGCAAAAAGCTCGACAATGAGAGAGTAGGTGCTCTATTGTTTCTGCAGAAATAATGAGTTGGGTACATTTTTGGGTGTTATTCAAGCTTGACTTGTTGTTTTGAATTATCCACCAAATACATTTTTTGCTCAGTACAACACACTGTCTTTATGCTGAATTCCTAGTAATCTAAACATTAAATAATTGTAAATGAATTGAAAAGTTTGTAGTTTATTTTTAATATAACAGTTCTCTGTTATATTTCAATACAATCGCTTAATGGTTTAAAAAGTTCATTTACTCAAGCAAAAATTTGTGCACAAATGAAGGTGCACGTTCTGGTGATGAAATTCGACCCGAAAAGCGGGGAAAATTATAGACTATAATACTTGTAGTACTAGAATCGTAGTTTATTTGCTGTCAACATAACAAAAATCGTCTCCGTTTTGTGTTGCGAGCAAGTGAAATGAAATGAAGTGTAATAATTTTCCCTCGTGTGCTGGCCATATTTCCACAAGGAAGATGTCTGTCCTGAAAAGTTTGCATGCCTTTTAAGAAGTAAATTACACAGAACCGTGACAAGTCGTGCGAGCAATAACATCGCTTTGTCTTGGCCATAAGGAAAGACGAATTGTACATACTGCTTTATTTTTTTAACGCCTAATCGACCGTGCAGCACGCGAACACAATCCGCCAGACGAGCTTAATAAAACATGAGCTTGGGAGTGAGGACGAAGCGGATATACATGAAGTGACAGTCGATGGGTCATGACCGCAGTTGTTTCTGTCAGGCGTTTCCTTAAATTTACCTACCTGTTCCAGTGAGGGAGAGGGGGGTTCGGCTTGGGAATGTGGCATTCGAGACATATTGTATTGTCAATAATAGACTGTGCCTTTTGATGGATACGCTCGTGTGCCTACTTTGGCAGGTCATCGACTAGAATAAGATTGCGTGACCTACGCACGTGTTCCCACACATATGTGTGGGTGTGTGAGCGTGTCTATCTATCCTCAAGTCAACAGAAACGGAAAAGATTGTGGACATCTTCCACGAGAAACATTTTGCGCTTGTGTAACTTTTCACCAGCTTTTTAGTCCACAGCATGATGCCACCAGCAGCACTCCCACAATTTCATGTTATACTTCACTCTCCAGCAAATTGTTATTTAATTATAGGATTCCTGTTTCGTTTTTGCTCCTTCTGCGAGCTGCTGTTGCTGCAACATCAGGCGCCAACGCAGGTCACGTATAGAGTAATGGCAAATAAATCAGCAGCGGAGGCATTGCAAATGACGTACGACCTATGTGGCTGTGGTCACTCCCATTGCGGTACAACACGCGTGACCTCTGGTGCGGTGGGCGGGGCCTATTGCCATTGTTCTGTGGTTCCGGGTACGTGCGCCGTTCAGTTCTGGGAAAGTGCATTGAGCGTAAAATAATTGACTTTAAAGTCAAACTGCAAAATATACGATACGATGTTTGTTGCCATAGTTGCCTACGCTTTGATGTGCCAATGAGTGGGGGAAGACTTTCCGTAGCGGAAATGACTAACGTGGCTAACAACATGGCAGGCACATTCAATTAACTAAAGCACCGGTAGTACTTCTATGTCAAAACCAACTACCTCTCGTTTTATAAACGCCTCGTAAGCAGTCTGAGGTATTTTAATGAGGTTGTTGATAGTCAAAGACTTGACGCGCTCTTTGAGAAAGTTAATATACATTAGAGATTAATTAAAATGTGCTCCAGTATAACGCAGCGAGGCTTTAAATTATAATTTGTTTGCATAATATTGATTGTTTGAACAGTTTTTATGCGCATCAAAGCTTATTTATAATTTCTTTTTTATTTATTTAAAAAGTTTGTCACCGTTTTAGTTTTAAGAAGAGGAAGTCCCTTTCGTTTTGTCATTGTAATATGAAATTGGTGAGCGTTAGATTAATTCATCATTTTAATAAATACAAGTATATGAATTATTAATGCCTCACAATCGAATGTCTGCGTTTGTTCCGATTAATGAAATAGCATTTTCGGAGCTGGAGCAGTTTGAAGATTCGAAGCTTAACAAAAATACTAATGGCAATTGTATTTGTACTACTTTATTTGGGACATTGCAACTTGTTCTTGCCTATTCATCACTTCAATAGACAACTTTCTGCCACTTTTCCCCCACTCGGCTAGGCAAGCAATTATTAGAATATGACTACCTATATTTAGTAACTAACTCATAGTCCTTGCCCAGCTTAGTGTTGATAATAGCAGTCTTTGTACGTCCATATGCTCAACTATGCTCACCTTTTCATTCATCACATTTATCTAAGCTTAACGTCAAGTATTCCAAGAGATGAGCATATTTCTGCTGAGTTGCCTCTTCGGTATTGCAATTCATGCCAAGTCAACTAAGATAGTCATGGGGTGTGGGTTTTCCCCATCCCCATACAATTTCATTGAAACATTCAACACAAATTGGTCAAGGCTGGACATACAGCTGGCAAACAGCTACCTATGCGGAGTACCCTGTCGCAAGTCGGCTTGCTCTGTGGTCTGTGGCAGCAAATTATTTAGAGGTTGGTCGGGGTTTCTGAGCAATTTGTCTTCTTTTTGTTGTAATATGCTTAATATAAGCTTGAAATGAGCTTGAAATTTAAGTGTTTATAAATGCGACTGTTCTCTTTTCTCTACACTTTGCACTTCCACTATTAGTTCGAGTTCAAGGCTTTAGTTCCCCTTTATATTTATATCAAAGTTAAACACAAACTTTTTATCAAACATTCCATTCCATCCTTGGGATGATTATCGGAGCAATAAACAGTATGTTAAGGTAAAGACCGAACAGGTACTCAGTGACTAACAAAAGAGCAGGTACACAAAGTACACAATAAATATCCCTATCTATTGGCTAACCCCACTTATCGGTGCTGCGGTTAGTCCTTTATGGAGCTCATCACTCGCAGAACTGCAGGGGAGATAGTTTGCAATTGTGTGGAGAAAATACGTCAATATTAAGTTAACTGCCGGAGATGCTGACAAAACCACTAAGGCGCCTTGCGGGCTGCCACTCAAATCACAGCAGTAGCGGTAGCAGCAGCGCAGCGGCAATTGCTTATCTTTTATCAAAGAAACACTCACAAACACTCATACACACACAGGAGAAGCGAGACACACACATAAATAAATATGCAGGTATGTGACAGTGCTTAAAATGTTTTCAAAATCCACTCAAGTTCACACAAACGCCGGATTAAGTTAGGAAGTTATAGAAAGATAGAGATAGAGGGAAAGTAAGGAAGGAAGCCGTTGTTCTGTGCGCTTCAGTTGGGGATTTCAATTTCGCAATAAGCTTGAGCATGGATTACTTTTTTGCACACAAATGAAATTGACAGCTAATCCGTAATTGATCTGGAAAAAGGTAAAGCAAAGACGACGTCTGTGATGATGACGACGATGCTTGGCTTTGACAGGCAGGCGACAGACAGATAGGCAAGCTGCCAGGTTGCCAGGCTGCTAGGCTGCCAGGCTGCCAGGCTGCCAGGATTGGCAGGTGTGCGAAAAGGTACCAACATTATCGTCGTCAGCACGTTAAGAGGCATCAAACGGCATGCTGCCAACTGTTTAGCCAGACAGCAGTAAAATGTTCAATATAATGCGGACTGGTAGGCATTGTATATAAGCGTGCGAGATCGCGTTCAAGTCAATGGAAAATCCAACTGAATTCCTCAAATAAGCTGAAGAGGGTAAATGGTTAGCAACACACTGAAAATACTGAAAGGACCAGGGGTAGAGCAGAGCTGGAGTGTTTGTAGCAGCACGCACATGAATATCAATTTTAGCCAAAATATAAAGTGCCGTATGACAAGTGTCTTTTGTATTAGCCAAGTGGCACACCCAGTTATCTACTACTCTTCTTCTTCACAAATATACGCATTTATTTAAGCATACATGTATATGTGTGTTCATAAAAATGGCTTATGTAAATGCTATGTAAACAGCAAAAGGGAAAAAATTTGCCAAGCACCAAATTGCGCGTTTCATATCCGTTTTGCAGCAGACAAGTAAAAATATGAAACGCAAAAAGACACTAACACGAGACATAAGAAATCATAAATAAAACAATATCAAATAAATGCATATTAACCTTCTGTGTACGCCCTGTGCGTGTGTGTTGTCTGTGTCGTGTTTGTTTATCTACAAAAAGGGCACGTGGCACGGAAAGCGTGCTCTATTTTTTAAGAAATTGTAGCAGCATTTCAGGCGCTGGTGGTGGGAAAACTAGGAGCCATAGACAATGGTTGTTGTGTGAAATGAAGTGTGTAATGCAAAGCAAATGCATGTTCTTGTGCGATGGGGCGTATGGATGCGTACACTAGACGATATCAATAAAAAAATTCTAATTTAAAAATTAAAAATTTAATATAAAGAAAATATATCTTCGGGCTAGTAAATCCGGAAGGATTGGAATATTATTTTTATTATATACAAAGAATTTTACATTACAAAAAGCTGACATAATATTCAAGCGGCTGTGTATTTTAAATAAGAACTTCAACAGGTTTCATTGCTTCGATTTTTGTTTTATTATTGGAAGGTCTCAATTATTATTTAACTCTCATTTAATAAGGAGCTGAAATATGTGTTTAAAAATATATTCCAATTATTTGAAAAAGCTAGAAAATGATAATGTGAAAAAGAGCCAATTTTGACTTCCAAAGAAAAATTTTTCAAATGTATTTTTCAATAAAAAAAATATTTCAGTCTTTTATGCAAAGCCAATGAAGGAAAGTAGAGATTAGGCACATTCACAATAAAGTTAGTAAAATTACATTTTATAGTTAAATAGCGGAAATATGCTTGCTATCGAAGAGTATCTTAATATGCTGATTTATATATAAAAGATGACTAATGCTAAGAGAAGAACTTACTGCTTAGTTTTGTTTAAATTTTTAGAATATCAAAATTTTGTACAAACCTTTTAATAATTGTATTTAAAAGCCATTTCCCACAAATTTGGACTTTGTTCAAGGTCTAGAAAGTTTGATTGTTGATAAATATTTTATCATTATTAAGTGTTATATAATTATAAATATAAAATCGCCCGACCTTCAGTAACTGATCGAAGTGATACTTTGTAAAGCAAGTCCCAGTTTTTTAAATGATATTGCTCTTTCAGTATCCTAGAGTCCTTTTACGTTTTTGTACGTCCTATTTGGATTCTCAATGCTTTAGTATTCTCCCAGTCTGCTAACAGTAGTATATAAGGAAGGAGCTGCCATTCCTCTAACACACAAACAAGTAATTGCAATTGTACCTTTAAGAGAACTTCTTTGTAAAAATCTTGCAGGCATCTGTATAATTATGTTGCCTAGTGTAAGCACAATTTACTTGTACTTATGTGTGGGTGTCACATCTCTGCCGTTGTGCGTGCTTGTGGATGCAACTTTTGACCCGACTGGCGACAAATAAACAAAATATTATTTGCTATTTGGCACACTATGCAGCAAAGCGAACATTTGCCAGACATATTATATTTCTGCGTATGTGTGTGTGCGTGATTATGTGGATATGTACGTGTGTGCATTGCACACATATATATAAATATATATATATATGATATGTTAAGTAAGCGTGTTCTTATATTTTTTTATAGCAACCACCACAAAAGCCGTTAACAATAACACGTTGTCTTGCGTGCTAATAATGCAAGAGATATAAGAACAAAGTGCGGCAAAGGCGTGAAAGCATAAACCAAAGAAAGACACACAAAACTCCAACAACAAAAACAACAAGAGCAGCAACAACAACTACTGGAACTAAGTGAGGCTAGAATAACAAGAAACGCATACAAATGCCAGCGCTGACGGTTGCTGCCACAAAAGGCGCAGGCAGTGGCAGCTACAGAAACTTGAGCAGCGACAGCGTCATTTAAACAACAACAAAAGCAACAGCAATAAAGGAACACCGCCCATATGGCATGCTGCGGCAGCAATTGAAATTTCAATTCGCGCGCCAATGCGACGACAACTATAACAGGAGCAGCAATAGAAACAGCAACAGCGTTCATTCGACGACTCTACCGAGACGCAACAACAATAGCAATAACAACAGCAACAACAACAACAGCAGAAACAGCAACAGCAACAACAACGAATTGTCAGCAGCAACATGGATGATGTTTCTCCACCACCACCAAAGAAGAGCACAACCCTGTCCGTGGATCGAGCCGCCTTTCTATTGTTGCGTGTGAAGAAGGCGTTCAAGAAGAAGCGCCAACAGCGCAAAGAGCGACAGTAAGTAGAGTGTTGTTTGCATTAGTATTTTGCTTCTTTCTTTCTGCCATCCACCCTTTGTCTCTTGCTCCCTTCGTATTTCGTTTTGCATTTGCTCTCTGCTGTGGCCTAGCATTTATAGGCATCCCAGGGCAGGACAGCTCCAAAAGGCACATATTAGCTTTCGCATACAGGCACATACTACATTTAAACATGTAAGCCGTGTGGTTAAGGACTTATGACTCTTTGTGTAGTTGTAGTTTAGAGCTTAGTGTCATATTAGTTGTGTCTTAGGCTTCATTATAACTACAAAAACGTTTTTAATTAAGCAACTTTTGAGATTAAACACATTGTAGGCAGATTATTCGATTCGTATATTGTTTAAAGCGAGATTATGTTTTATTTAATAGTACTACATTCACTAAATATTTCAATTTCAGGCTATTTTGTACCTTACATTGAGCAGTGTTTTAAATCAAATATGTCTTTAAATCGATGCACAAAATGCGGTTCTATCTTTTAAATACAAAGTGTGAGCGCTCTACTACATACTGGATGGAATGTATTTGCATTAAGAAATGTGTGGAGTGTATAAAATGTTAAATTAGTGCTTCATCATATAAAAAAGAAAAATTAAAGGAAAGTCATAATAAATGGTATCCAAGGGGAATGAAGCATCATTATGTTAAAAATATTTAAGAGTATTTAAAATGTTCTTTAAATTTACAGTTTTTAACCCTAAATTAATAACTTTTAGAACGATATATTTGTTTACAAGTGAAGGAAGTTATTTTAAATGGATTATTATTAAATTTAATACAAGTATTTTCTGTTGATCTATTTTTAACCCTAAATGAAACATTTTTAGAGCGATATATTTGTTTACAAGCGAAGGAAGTTATTTTAAATGTATTATTTTTAAATTGAATATTTTCTGTTGAATTATTTTAAATTAATAAAATTCGAAAACTAATTTATTTTCTAACCTTTTGTAGATTAGCGCGTCAATATGAGCTTCAAATAAGGTAGGTTTTTCGAACCCAAAAAGTGGTTTTAATTTCTATATTTTATGTTTTCGATGTTTATTTTTTGTTATTTGTATTCACAAGCTACTTACATATAAACTAAATGATGCTAAATCTTAGCATAATAGAATAAAAAGCTTCTTTCTTGCCAGAGGTGGCAAATTACTTACTGTTTTTATAAAACGCAGTATTGTTTAGCCTCTGTCTCTCTTTAGTACCACATTGGAAAATCTTTGAACTCCACTTAATATGTATAAACATTTTCCAATAGTCAGCTGTGGTGTCTGCGCTCGACTTATCGCAAATAGCTTTGCACTTGGCCCATTGTGGTATGTTGAGGCAGATGGCAGAATGGCAGTGGCTAAAGAGCACTTAAAGACGCCCCAAGCACTGCAAATGGTGGCACGCACTGGGGCATGCTTCGAGCTGTCTTGCATTTGCCAGAAAGCCTTCGGTGGCCAAATTGCAAAACATGCTGCAAACGAAATGTAATGAAATGCACAAGAGGTGTGCCTCGAGGGCGACAAGCGTGCAAGGCATGAGTTCGAATGTTGATTTTTTCAACACAACTACCACAATGCTGCACGCTTCTATTTCTATTTCATATGTGCATATATTTATAAACTTGGTACGCTTCAAAAAATCAGCTCGTTAGAATATTCTTAGCCCAATTTTCCAGCGTACCTAATGCTTTTCTATTGTTTTCATAGCAGCTGTTGTTGTGCTGCTTTTAAAGAAAATTTTCGAAATTTTTTCGCCTCGTTGCACAGCCGTAATGAAAATGCTTTCTTAGCGCACAACTTTCCGTCCAGACATTCCCGACGGTTTCCTTGCATCAGCAGAAAAAAGGAGGAAGAATGAAAAAGAAATTGAATAGCGGCAAACTCAATTAGGCGCAAGGACATGCTAGGCAAATGCGGAGTGTGCAAGGCAGGAGCAGTGCATATTAAAATCTTTAAAGTTTTAGCCAAGTCGTTAATGTGGAATTTGTTGCCTTTTAAAATTGTTTCCTAAAATACAACAACGCCTAGCGAAATGCCAACGTTGACGTGCCATTAAATAACATTAAAAGCAAAAGAGACTAATGAGGAAGAGGAAGGGAAAGTCGAAGGAGAGAGAAAGAGAGAGAGAGAGAGAGAGAGAGAGAGGGCGTGGGAGAGCGCCAGAGATGCTGGCAAAGAGTTGAAGTGTCTGGCACTGTTGGCGCCAAAAGCGCAAAGAGTTAAAACGACGCTGGCGGCTTCGTCGGCCCAGCCTGCTGATGGGCTGCACAGTGGTCGGAAATAGTGGTTTAAATTGATTTACCTTAATTAGGAAATAATAATTAATAATTAACATCCATCAATTTTGTTGGTAAAATATCGGAGTTATTAGTCAGAAGACATCTATTTTTTTTAAATTAAAATTCTTTCTATATTTTATTTTTATTCTATCAAACTATTTTATACCATTAGATTGTTTTTCAAGAACACAATCCGATTCAAAAATTGCATAACACAATAATTTAACTAAGCCAGTTAAAAGTGTCGATTAAATTTGCATAAACGTTGTTTGGATATTTTTACTCCTTAACTCGCTAGCCACTGCCTCAATTAATATCACAGAAAAATAAAAATACATAATAAAAACATTACACAGGAGACAAAAAGTTGATCAGTGGATTTTAAATCTATACTCGAAATCTTTTTATGGTTTACAATTCCACTTAATTAGATAACAATTACAATCGTAGTTAGGTTGCAACTGTTGCCAAACAAGTTTCATTTCATAGTGTAGATGAGCAATAGGAAGAAATATCGGAAAAAATTTAACATTCAATTAGTTTCAAACTTGGTTTGTATACAAGTATATGAAAATGTATAAAATAAAAGATAAAACTGCTTTTCTTCTTACAAGAAAACATACTTGAACTTTTTGCTTTTTTTGCTTAACATTATATTTTCATTTAATTTATTAATTGAAATTGAAAATTGTGCCCTATTATACGTGCCCTTAACAGAAGCAAAAATAAGAAGAATGCCCAACTCGCTGCTGATTGAGAGTGCAAAATGGTGGCGCTAATAATTTTTCTGAGGATTAATCGATTCAATGAATCTCAGGAAAGTTTGCTTTCTATGTGTGCAGGCGTCATCCTTTAGCTTGTGACATCCAAAAGATATTTAAGAGGGCTACTCTTACCCATTGGGTACAGGCTATAAAAATTTCTAGTTTTTTCCGATGCTTAGCCACTGTGTTCTCCCATTCCGTTACGTTTTAAGGCGTGCTCTCTGCAGCCTCCGCAGATGATTTGATTACATGTGCTGGCAGCATTTGCTCTAATTATGCACGCACATTTAATTACACATCGAGCGCGCAACACACATACACTGGCGTATACGTAATATGAAATATTTGTATGTGCGTATGCATAGATTCGGCACCATTTTTCGTGTTACGGCACATTATCAGGCGAGCCCAAAAACTGTCGAAGTTAGTTGGCTGCCGGTCGAGCTACACTAGTTTGAATAATGGCCGCCAGGCAATAGGTCCAACATTGCTTGGCATATGTAAGCATATACGAACAGGTTCTACTCGGATATAGACAGCCACGTTTTCAAATGTAAATGAGCCTGTCATTCAGTTGGTTGTACTCATCAACTCGAGACTGCGAATTGAGGGTGTGGCCTTATACGAGTAGGTCGCATGGCTCCTAAATAGCCTAAACGAAATAATTAAAGTCCCAACATGGGAGTGCGTTAACGAATAGCTAATCAAAGTCAGACTCACCAGAGGCAAAATTAAAGGGTCCCCAAAAAGGACGCTTAAGCTATATAAATGATTATTCCCACACACACACATGCACACAGCACCTTAATATTTAATGTTGAATTGAATACTTACGCTAAATAGCACTTGAAGTCCAACTTTCTGGTTAAGGACGAGCATTTGTTTGGTTCTATTGACGTATTTTAAATAATCGAACAAGAATACAAAAAGTTCCAGTTGACTGTTTTTATCAATTTGACTGCAATTAACAACACTTTCAAATTGGTTGCTTTAAAATTCGAATGCTTGTTTCAAAGTTGCAAGCAGAAATGCAACTCAGAAAAGTTGAACTTTAACTTTTTAGCAAAGCAAACGAAGAGACAATTTAACGAAAAAATGCAAATGGTATAAGAATGATTTAGCACATATGTGCATACGTGACCAAATGTAGATTTTATTCAGTGTTATAAATAATATATATATATAGTAATAGCATATACAAAACAAAATCGATGAATAGCGCAGTGAAAAAATAGTGTAGGGAAAATTTAAAATTCTTGAGCACTTAAATAAATAGTTCTGCTCAACAATTTATACTAACATACAAAATTTACGCAATGAAAAAAAGCCATACAAAAATCTCGTTTTTATTACGATAAATTTATTTGATTTCTGGAGATGTTTTAATTTGTTTGTGCAATGATATTTGTTATAAAACGTAAGCAATATAACCAGAAAAAAGTTAAAATATCTTTAACTAAAATAAAAGTGTACAAAAAACAATAATAATTGAAAACAAAAATAATTATAATGAAAAGAAAAATTAAGACGAACTTTGTTTCATTAGTCTTTCTTATTTTAAAAATTTTTTTATCAGTCCTGATTTTACATATAGATTTAGTTAAACCAAAAACTGTGAAGACTGTTTCTACCTAAATTTCTTAAAGTGTTATCAAAAATATAAAATTATAATATATACAATAATAAACCATTTAATGGTTTAAATATGCTACCATACACCAATTGTATATGTGCATATGCCATTAAATAGTAACTTGAAAGAGTAACTTATGGACTTTAATAATTTTGCTCCCTTTTGTTGGCGTCGTTCAATAACTACCAACAATTTGCATTTAAGTATGCTTTTCCTTCATGTATACATATATATTTTCCAATCAATCAATTATTAGTTGCCTCTTGACTACGGCTTATCACCTCTTCAATGGAATTGATTGATTTCTCATGGCATCT